GCAACACGTGCCTCCACATTCGCAGTGCGGGGCAAATTGCGCGTGGAAAATGTGAAAGCGTCTGAGTGAAGATCGGAATCTTGGGGAGCTTAGGCCAAATGATTTGGGTAATGGCCACAGATGACAACTATGAGCAGGCACAAATGATTGGGGCCCAGAGAGCAGGGGGATCGGGTTGGGATGGGATCGCGGCCCATCAATCAGAGGCGGCTACAAATTATGGAACTTCTGTAAACGATTCGTGGACACTGTTTGGCTGCCAAAAGGCATTAAAACCCAATCAGAGGCGAGACAACCCAGGGAAAGGGAATGGGCTGCGGTGGCCACCATCAAAGTCATCAGCTAATGAGACTTTGACTGCGCTTAGTTTTCGATTTGCCGGAGAAAAAACTATGACAGTTGGGCCTGTCAACGCGTGTTGGGCGCGGAAGAAACCATTTGGCAGGCCTCCGAGGAGGGGCGGAGTCGCTCAATTAAAGCTTCTTTGGCCGGTGCCCTCATCTCGGCCAGAAAAGAAATCAATTAGTGCGAAATTAGCCAGGAGAAGCGAGCCATTCAGGGTCAAAACCATAGCCAAAGCCTCAAAAGGCCCTCACTTCGATTGGGAGTAAATCAGCTCGGCCTCTTTCAGTCGGTCCATTGTGGCTTTGGGGCTTTTGATATGGGTCCAGCGATTTGTATCTAATGAATTTTTAAGCTGAAAATTATTAGACATTTGACTCCACATCGCATTTGATTGCCAACAACGATAGCTCGACTTGAAAGATACCCGTCAATCAGTAAACTTATAATATAACAACAAATTATATCTGAAGAAATATAATTGCATTACCAGAAGAGCAGTAAAGTTATTTAATGTTCTATAATTTATATTTTATAAAATAGATAGGACAACCTCCTTATGAACGCTAAGCCAATAATAAACTTTTGAAATTCTTCAGCGTGATTTACTTCGGTAACCATCGGTAATCATCAAAGTTAATAAAAAAAGAACTAAAAGCTTAACCTAATGGGGTAACAAAAAAATGATTACTGACTAAAAACAATTTTTGTTACCAGAAAAAGTAAAGTTAATAAACGAATGTATTCAAAAATGAATTGTTTAATTGCTTATATGATCTTTAAAGAAATTAAAAATGATATAAATATACTATATTATCTTTAAAGAAATGAGTCACGTTAAACTCTTATACAGAGAAACCCAAGGGAGATTTTAGAATACAATACAAAACCATTATACCCCGGGCCCTGTAAAAGGCGAATATCATCATCACAGGCAATAATAACAATGAGGCAGCCCAGTGATAAGTTAATCTTAAGTGGATTTGGCTTTTAAATGCCCGACACATGACGGGAGATCACAGCCCCCTGTGGAGGCCTCAAGTGGAAAATCCCCGCTCCCCGATATTTCCAACTAATTGCAGGAGCCACTGTTTTCCTCTTTATCTGGCTTTTCCTAGGGCCGAGGAACCCCAACCCCATGCCAAACGCCCTTTTGCACTCGGGACTCCTCTTAGGATCGCATAAATCACAGTCGAGTGCATTTAATTAATTTGTGCCTAGTGGATAAAAAAAAAAACAAATATATGAAATGAAAAGTTGTGGAATGTGCGCAGCGAGGAGGTGGAAAATTCGACAAAAATATGAGAAAAATACAAAATAAACTAGGAGCACAATGGAAAAGTTGCGCATGCAGCTGCCACACACAGAAATTTGTTTTTATTTGCATCTGGCTGTTGTGTTTTTCTAAATGGAAATTTGAAATTTTAGCCGCAGACGCTGTGGCAGGTGCCATTCTAACGGTTACTGCTCACTTTTTGTTTTTCCATTTCCATTTGCCACCGACTTCTTGCTCTTGCTCCTCTGTTTCGGCCGCTTTTCCGTTTGTTTGCCAGCTTGTTTGTTTGTTTGTTTATTTTCGCAATCTTTTCACGGTGGCTAGTTCTGATTTCCAATTATTGGATTTCAACAACTTCGAAGTTGTAGCTCATTAGACCAAATTGATCAGGCGGGAAAATGGACTTACGATTGCCCATATTCGATATGCAAATTGATGGGGCCAACTAAATCGCATCTAATTGCCCCGTCCATTTCCGCGAAGACAAAAGTCAATGCAATCGATTTTGATTTCGCAGAAAACACTTCGCAACGCATTCAAAGGCAGGGAAAGCGAACGAAATTTCCGGGAAATTTGCCAACTAGAGTAGGGCAGTTATTGACTCAAGGACTCTTTGGTGGTTCGAGGTACTCCGTACTCCTGTGCATATCAATAATTCCCATTAATTGCCCTGTCCATGCAAGCGTTTCCCTTTGACCCTCCCCCACCACCATCTCCTGCGCATTTCCGCTTCCGGCTAACTAGAAGAGGGCCATCGAGTGGGCGGGCAGCACTTGCTGCACTCGGCTAATTCTGTTTTAATATTCAAATTTGGTTAACAAAAACGAGAAAATACCGGAGGGGGTGGACCGGAGCTTGAGTTCTGTTCTGCAGCTCCATTTGCTGATGCAACATCGAGCAATTGCAGCTGGAAAAGCAGGAGGGTTGCAAGTCTCTGTTGCTTTTCCAAACTTATGCCATGTGCACTGGGGGAAAAGTACTATGAAATAATATTTACAAAATAATTACTAAATATAGTTAGCATTTAATATATACTTTGGAGTGTTTTTTATTTGGAAGAAATACTAATTATATCAGTATAACCTTCGTTAAGAATTTTTTAAAAGGAAAGAAACTCATCAAAATAGATTTTGTTTTTATACTGAATTTTCTTGTTTCTAATATGCATATTAACAAGCAAATACATGATTTTTAAGCAACAAATTCATATGAAATTGTTCATAAATAATTCTTTTTTTCAGTGCACCAAATGCAGACTGAAAGTGAACCGAAAATGGAATGAAATCCAACGCAACGCTGAGGCGTTCTGCTTGGCTAGTCACCGCAACAACAAAAGGTAAAATCGGCATGTGAGTGTGTCGGCCGTATACATTTTATAAGCGGTCGAGTTTAACGAACTAGGCTTTGTGTTTTTGGTCCACCCTACACTCTCGCACTCGCCAAACAAACTAATTTGGCCCCCTTTCCCCGCTTCATGCTCCTCCGCACACACCAACACTCGAACACACCATTTTCACAATTTCGCAATTCTAAACATTTTCATTCATTTTCATTTGCAGACAAGTAATTTTTGGGAACTTCTTCTCAGAATTGCAAATAGCAATTTGATTTGCGAAAATTTTTAATTCGATTTGCTGTAAGCCTTTTGAGGACTCTGATGTCAAGGACACTGGGAGCAACGAAATCAAATAAACAAATCAAATATTAAGTGTGCCATTTGAGTGTCGTGCGAAATATGAAATAATTTTTGTCTTTCTATTTGCCTTGAAAATGCTGATTGGATGTCAGCTAAGGGGAGTAACTAAAATATAGCCAGTGGATAGGGAGAAAAGATAGAAACTCTCCCCCTAACTTGCCGCCACATGTGCAAAAGATAAAACCCCGATATTCCGATGGTGGTGCTGCAACATTTTTCTTATTTACGAGCCACGTAGCCATAAAAGGCGACATAAATTTCCTAGAACAGCTCCTGCCTCCTGAAAATAAATATAAAAAAACTCGAGATTTTTCCTTGCCAAAATGCAGGCGGCAGTCGAAAGCCGTGAGGAATAAAGAAATTGATATAAATGCCGGGGCAAACTCGCACATCCCAAAGGGGGCACTCCGCACAAGGATGGATCGCATACATTGCGTTGAAATTGCGCGAAATGTCGTCAAAGTTTGTCAAAATATTTAAATGAACGTCTCTGTGATGCGCGGCATGATGATTCAATCTGTGCACGAGCCACTTGCAGGAATAAATTCAACGACTTTAAGTCCTTTTCGAGGGCTTTTCCTAATGTCAAAACAATCTTCGATTATTACACCAGTTGGAGAGGAGCACTCTTGCCACTCACGGCAATAACCATTAATAAAAATGTTTGGCATTTAAAATTAAACGACTCCGCCGCACGTGCCGCCTAATTGTTTTTTTTTCTTTTCTCTTTTGGTAAACTGAAACTTTGTGGCAATTTCATTTCGATTCGAGTATGGAATTTAAGGCCATTTGCATATCAAAAACGGGGGGGAAAAGTCTGCCGAGCGAGAGTCCTTTGGCCGCGCAGCTGGCGACGATTGCGAATCGCCTCCTCCCAAGAAGGAAAACAATTAGCGGAAAATTCTCACAACTTTGGCAGCGGAATTCGCGCCCAACGATTTCGACGTAATTGCAGATACTTTTCGGCATCCAAGGGGGGGAAAATAAGGAAAGTCTTTTCCCACGGCTGTCCAAATTTCATTAACATGAATTTATAAACAATCGCGGCGAGGCTTAATTAAATTGCCCCTTTAGAAGTAGAACTTGCAACTCCTTTGGCGATCCCATTAAACTTTCACAGACCATAAATATGTGCGTATTGTGTGAACTTTCAGCGAATGGCAATTTTTTAAATAATTGTCCATAAATATAAGCGGACATAAAAAGGGCAACCGAGCGTTTAATCCGTTGTCGCATTTAATATATTGGCCATTCCAACCCGGCGAATGGAGTAAGTAAAGTAAAGTGAGCTCGGAATCCTTTGGCTCATAAAATGTCAAGGAAATTTTTATTGATGAGCCAAAGGCGAACGACGACAATGAAAACACAGCGCTTTCGCCTCGCCGAGATTTTTCTTTGCAGCGTCCTCGTCCTTGCAGGTCCTCTTCACTCCCACTGTAGTTGTAACTTTTTTTCGAGGACACGCCATAACCGATGGCCGGGAGTTGGGCACGAAGTAAAAGTGTGTCAAAGTATTTCCCGGCACCTCCACACACTCGTTTATATATGGGATGGATGGATGTAGCACTCGGTTGGTACACTTGCTAAATGGCAGAACCAACAAAACAATCCGGATGCAAAATCCGCCAAAAAATACACACACATTCGCTGAACACTTTGTTTACCATATGCATTTTTCGGTTATACCTTTTTCAATATCCATGCGATTCCGTAAATGCAACAATTCTCGGGCTGTTATTCGTTCACTGTCTGAATCACTGGTCACTGTTCACGGTAGTCACTGGACTCACTGGTAACTGGTAACTGGTTCCCTGCAGCGTACGAGTCGCGTGAACGCAGCGCCAGACGTTCGATCCGCACGATGTCCCGAAATCTACTGAAACTTGGAACTGAAACTGGGGGATTCGGCGATATGTACTTCACAGATACGAGCTGTTAGGCCTCGTCGTTCCCTAACAGAAATGAGAGCTGTTAGGAGTCGCATGGCGGAGAACTTCTCTCGGAGAGTGGCTCGAACCTGTTAGCCGTCGGTGGGTATGACAACCAGGTTGTGTTTACGTTTTTTCATGCTCTCAAGGAGGTTCGACACTCAAAGAGGTTCGAGCGTGTTGCGGGTTCGTGGGCTTAGCAACATTTGCACGGAAAAAAAGAGTGGGAATATGACAGTATCTCGAGAATTTTAAAATTTACAGACAGTGCACTTATAAAAACGGAAGACTTTCACTTTTATGTAATATAAACTGATGCTTACAATAAAAAAGGTATAATCCATCATAACGATTACACAGAGAGAACTCTGACGTTTTCATCTGGGTTTAAAATGTTCTTAAAAATAGAACGACATGTTTAAAGTTCGAAATGTTCTCGAACAAAGTTGAATTGGAGTATTTACATTGCTTATCTCAACAACTAAACTATTAGTCCAGTCGCCTTAAAAATTCAGTTTTTTTGGCTGCCATAACAAAAGTATAAGTCAGAATGAGGAATGTCATACCTCGTTGAGCTCGTTGTTTAATTTCCAATCGATTGGCATTTCAACGTGAAAATTTTTAATTTTTGCCATTTTTCGAAAAAAAAGTGAGAAAATTGGACAAAAAATAAATTTTTCAAAAAGTGATGAGGATCGTTAGCATATTTAGCAAGCTGTTCAAAACAGTCGGTCTTTTAGCTGTACACCTTGATTTGGCTGAACTACGATGGAAAAACCGGAAAAAAATGTCGAATATTTGACAAAAATCTGAATTTTGTATTTTTGACAAAAACTTTAACCCTTTTTTTGCCATAAAAATTCAGTTTTTTGGCTGCCATAACAAAAATACAAGGAATGTTATACCTCGTTGTGCTCGTTGTTTAATTTCCAATCGATTGGCATTTCAACCTAAAAATTTTTAATTTTTGCCATTTTTCAAAAAAAAGTGAGAAAATTGGACAAAAAATAAATTTTCCTTAAAGTGATGAGGATCGTTAGCATATTTAGCATGCTGTTCAAAACAGTCAGTCTTTTAGCTGTACGCCTTGATTTGGCTGAACTACGATGGAAAAACCAAAAAAAAAGTCAAATTTTTTACAAAAATCTGAATTTTGTATTTTTGACAAAAATTTTAACCCTTTTTTCGCCATAAAAATGTTACCTACACGGATTTTAAGAACGAATGTTCTTAATTCAAGAACAATGTTCTTAAATATATCTCTCTGTGTTGTATAAAAGTATTTATATATTCTAAACATTACAGTTGCAACAATTTTAGTTACACTTTAATTTATATTTTATCAAGGAATTATTACTATTGAGTAAGCTTAAGTTTGGTACTGCTTTTATAGATCCCGAGATACCTCAAAAAACATAAAACATTTTAAAATCCATTAAAAATACGGAACTAAGCCTGTTGATGCTGTTTACTTTGGATCATAAAGGTTATTATTATTTTATTGTACAGACAATATAAAGAAAAATTTATAAACTATTTTTTTTAATAAACTTACAAACAGTGTATATCACATATAAAAAATATTTTTACAATTGTCAAAAAAATCCTTTAAAACATCTAACAAACATCGTTTATCACATGCCACCAAAATGGTGCTTTTGTTTTTACAAGTCAATTTTCTCCGGCCGAGCTCTTGTGATTATGTCGCGTCAAACGCTTGGCTGGCTATGCGTCCAACCTTCTTTCGAGTGGGTAATCCGAATACGTTCTCTACTTGGCTCTTTCTGGTCTACAATTAGTTTTCACGCTCGAGCAACTCTTGGAGACCCTCCCCCGAACCCTCCTTACGGGTCATACACACCCTGTTGTTAAGGAGACAACGTTTAATTAACCGTTTTGGGACCCGCACGGTGGTCGTAAAACCGTTAAAGTAACTGAAAGTAACTGGGATTTTTATGGTCTTAGTTGCTGTTTTTCAATCCCAAACTAATTTCGAGTGGGAGACCCGGTTGGGGCACCCTGCTAACCCATTTTCCGGCGTAGATAAGCCAAATAACTCACATGCTCAGGGGCTGACGGGCTGCTATCGGGCCTTCCACATGAGCGGAGGCAGTCAGGTGTCTATTAACTGCCAAGATTTTTGAAGCATGCCATCGCGACCGGCCCCAAAAAGCCCCGACCCTCCAAAACTTACTCGCTGGCATGCTTACCCAACAAATTTCCCATTAAAATCAAATGGAATTTCATATATTCGGCAGGGTGGGGCTGCTCAAGGATGGCGAGGCAACAGCTGCAGTGACATTTGCCGGCGCACTTAATGACTAATGGACTCTTAATGATCTAACAAGGTACACACACTCTATATATACAAATATATAGGTACAACATTGACACCTTTAGCTGAATCTTTGGGGCAATGAGGCAAGAGGATGTCGCTGCTGCTGCTGTTGCTGCCGGGCGGATGCACGATGTCGCCTCACAACAAAGTTCAAAACTTAATAATGCAACATTAGTTGCCACGATGCCGACGCTCAGATACACTCTAAGAAATTTGACAGGGGCTAGAAGAATAAATGGTAATATTAGTAATAGCAATAATATTTTCCCAATGAAAAATAATATAAAAATTAATGATACATAGGAATAGCCAACAATAAGTAAAAAAATTGTTTTATTTAATTTAATAATAATAAAGAGAGCATTCAGGTTATCTATATATTTAAAACTCAGAATCAATGTCTTAAGACATATGCTATAGATTTTTATAATTCTAAAAAAATGTATAATTTTTTCTTTATATTACTAATAGCACCTATTGGTATATTATTATTTAATTTGAAGTAAATTCATTTCCATTAAAAGCCCATTAAACCTGAGTATCTTTAAATACATTCTTTTAACAGAACAGTCAATATACAACGATCGAACTACTCTCAAAAGGTATTTATGTCCTGAGCTCTTTTTTAAAAGTTTAGAATGAAATAAAGTTCATCTAGTTGGATTAATTTGGCAGTTTTTCTCTTGTGTAGCTTATGTAGGTGGCCTCGGCGTTTTCAGCTCACGAAACGTGCCACTTGCATCAGTCGCGAGATGTTGCAAGTGCCACTGGCAGCACGTTGCAAACATCCTTTCAGGGGTAGGGTAGTGGTAAGGTAGGGGTTCGAGTAGGGGTAAGGTAAGCGATGGGGTAAGCAGGGGTGGTGGCTTGCCCTATATGCAAAGGAAGCAAAAAGAGCAGCCAAAACTCGACCAAATTGCAAAAATTAAATTAGTAAATTTTGTTACAAACTTGCCGTGGCGAAGGGCAGGGTGAAAAAGGGATGATGGGCTGCCGGTGACTAGCGGGTACTTTTGGCCAACTGGGAGGGCTCTTGGCCTAGGTCAATGGGGTTGCCTTGCTATTTTGTCGCTTGTTGTTGCCGTCTTGGCATCTTGCGATTTTGCTGCTGCTGCTTCTGTTGCATTCTATGTCGTTCATGCGCTTCATTTATCACGCAGCTGTCAAGTTTCGCCAGAACCAGAACCGTGACTCCCAGAAGGTGAGGCGAGTGGGGCGGAAAATGGGGGTACCTAGTACCCATGTACCGGAAGGAACTTTACGAGCCCAGCTTGGCCAAAATTAACCTTCGACTAGCCCCAAAAAAGCCAAGTGGAGCCGACAGAGGTAACCAAAACAGTTTTACACGCCGTCGCACAAAGCAAACACCTCGAACATATGTCAAGTAATCAGCGAGCAAAGTCAGATCTGAACGGGAATTGGAATCGGCAAACTGAATCCGAGTCTGCCTCGCAGTCTGATTCCGAATCCGAATCGGAATCTCAATCTGAATCTGATTCTGAGGCCCAGCCAGACGATGGGGCAAAGTTTACCTTGGCGGCACATGCCAAGCATAAAATTGAATATGTATCTAAGACTTGGCGAAATGAATCTCCAAACGGCAGCCAAGAAGGTAACTTTATGCTAGACAAGCCTCGCCAGTGTAAACAGGCTAGATAAACGGAAGGGACAGAGGACAGGGGCGGCGGCGGCGGCGGCGGCAGGGGTCGTTCTCGTTCGTCGCCAGAAGTTCACGCCTCAGCGGTTTTGCGTTTGCGCGCCGTTGCCGACGTCACCGGCAAAATATGGGAAGGTGCACTTAAAAAAATAACGGGTGCTTAACGTGTTAGTAAAACCGTTTTAGAAAACCACAATGAAAACATGTCTATAGAGTAACAAGTCAATCGCTAAGTTAAAAAGTCCTAAGACACCTAATGATTTTTGAGTAACTGACTGGATTTATATTAAAAAGTATTGGCAACATATAGCATAACATTTTACAAATTTGTATTTTAAATTATGAATACAAATCCATTCAATTATTTTATTTATAATATTTAACTTCGTTAGTAACTTTATTAATATTGGGTGTAACAAGAAACCATTTGAAAGATATCGTTTTTTGAAAAAGTTGTTGACCGAATTATTTTCTTTTATTTTCTTGTTCATCATTTTCATTGTATCTAATAGTATATATCTAATACGTTTTTTTTGGTGCTATCAGAAGGGCGGGTTATTTTTTGGGAGGATGGAAAGTAGGGAGGCGCCAGGCCGGTTACAATTTTTGACTCACCGGTCCGCTCGACTGAACCGTCGACTGTCGAACGTTTTCCGTTAGCGCTTTTCGCTTTTCCCATTTTCCGCAGCGCACAAGGCCCACGGTGACCGCAAAGCAATTTTCAGGGTTGGAACGGGGGAAAAGCATGGGAATGTTCTCAGTTTTTTATGCGATTGAAACCGATGAAAGCCAAAACTTACCAATAAAAACAGAAAAATAATGGTGAGAAAGGGCGGCAAGTGGCCTGGTGGTATTTCCCTTTTATTATGCAGCATAATCAACCATCCGGTGACAACAACAAGAGTCAACCCTTACCCTTGCAGAGCAGCGAATGTTTAACCCGCC